AGGGCTTCAAGACAGGATTTCTCTGTGTAGCCCTGGCTGTCCTGGAACTTGTTTTGTAGACCAGGCTGGCCTCAAACTCAGAGATCCACCTGCCTCTACCTCCTGAGTGCTGGGATTAAAAGCATGCACTACCGGGGCTGGAGAGATGGCTCAGAGGTTAAGAGCCCCGACTGCTCTTCCAGAGGTCCTGAGTTCAATTCCCAGCAACCACATGGTGGCTCACAACCATCTGTAATGAGATCTGGTGCCCTCTTCTGGCCTGAACGGATATATGCAAGCAGAACACTATATACATAATAAATTTAAAAAAAAAAGCATACACTACCATCACCCTGCTTTTAATAATTATTTTGATTTCTTTTTAAGAGTTATTTGTATGTGTATTGGTGTTTTGCCTGAATGTATGTCTGGGTGAAGGTACCATATCCCCTGGAACTGAAATTAGACAATTGTGAACTGCCATGTGGGTGCTGGGAATTGAACCCAGGTCCTCTGGAAGAACAACAAGTGCTCTTAACTGCTGAGCCATATCCCCAGCTTATACACCCCAATTTTAAAAAATGGTGTGAAATAAAGAGGCTAAGAATTCAAGAGAGCAAAGCAAGGGGGGGGTATAAGGGAAGGCTTGAAGGAAGAAGGGGAAATGGAAAAATCATATTACAGTCTCAAAAAATAAAAAATAGGGCCGGGCGGTGGTGGCGCACGCCTTTAATCCCAGCACTCGGGAGGCAGAGCCAGGCGGATCTCTGTGAGTTCGAGGTCAGCCTGGTCTACAGCGCAAGATCCAGGAAAAGGCGCAAAGCTACACAGAGAAACCCTGTCTCGAAAAACCAAAATAAATAAATAAATAAATAATAATAATAATAATAATAATAATAATAATAATAATAATAATAATTTCAAAGGGGCTTTTTTTTCTTTTTCAAGACAGGGTTTCTCTGTGTAACCCTGGCTGTCCTGGAACTTGTTTTGTAGACCAGGCTGGCCTTAAATTCAGAGATCCCCCTGCCTCCACTACTGCTTGGCTTAAAAGGTGCTTTTTTATCCAGAAAAACAATGCTCTTCATCTGAGCACAGCTTCTGCAGTGATAAGCATGGAGGGGTGGACAGCTGCCCACACAGCCTGGTCAACCTTACAATCAACAGAATGATAGAGAGCACAGCCAAATTGCATGTACATCTAGCCATGGGTTGTGTTTCAGAGATAGGGTCTCCTGACATAGCCTTGGTCACTCTATAGACCAGGCTGGCCTCGAACTCAGATCTGCCTGCCTCTGCCTCCTAGGTGCTGGTATTAAGGTGTGCACCACCACATCTGGCCTCATCACTTCTTAGCAGCGCTAAAATCACCAGCCTGGTCTTGCAAACAGAGGTTTATTATAGTGAGGACGAGGACACACAGCCCATTCAATTAGTTTTCAAGAGCAGACTTTCAAAACATATGCCATCAGAAAACAGCAGCTGGGGCCTTTTGTCACCACTCGAGTTATGCTCACATTATCGCACAGTGTTTTGGGAGCCATGCTGCCAAGGGGAAAACAAACAAGATGTCAGAGCACAGATGGGGGGGGCACCCGCTGATCACGGTTCTTTAGTCACATGCCTACTTCCTCAAAACTTTCAAGCATTTATTTATTTATTCATGGTGTGTGTGTGTGTGCATTAGAGAATAACCTGTGGGAATCAGTTCACTCCTTCCAAGCAAGCTCTAGGGACTCAGCTCAGGTTGCCAGGCTTGCTGACAGTTACCGTAACTGCTAAGCCGTCTCAGGTTATTTTTATGTAACTGCACACATTGGCAAAGGCAGACTGCCATTCACAGCGTGAGTGCTGGTCCCAGCCTTCTGTGATAGACTTCTACCACAGTTCTCGGGTCCTTGAGAGGTTATCTAAGCCTGGAGTGATGCCACATGCCTTAAATCACATCAATTTAGACTGAGGCAGGAGAATAGACATGAGTTTGAGGCAGTTTGAGGTTAGTCTAGGCTACATAGTGAAATCTTGTCTCAAAAACAAACAAACAAACAAACAAAAAAAGACTTTTAATTTATGAATTAATTTAAGATTGAGTTCTGCCACCTTGGCCATACTTGGTCTACTCAAAGTGAATATAGCAAAAGCAGCAACACCTTCCTTCCCATTAGGTGATATGCAGATGGTAGGGCACAGGCCTGAAAATCATTCTCATTACTTATTAATGAGGGGCACATTTACTCTGCTCTCTCAGGAGCTCATAAATGTCAGACCTGCCCTGGGCCAATCCAGGTCCACAGCTCTCCTGCTCCTGGCCCGTCATCCACCTCGTTCTCTGCACGAAGGTGAGTAAAAATGGCAACAATCCCCCCCTCCCTCCCTTTACCAGGTATGTTGAGAACACAGAACAACTCCCTAAAGTTTTGGGTAAAGTTCATTAGCAGAACTCATACTTTACATGTGCAAGGCCGGGCATTCACTCCCCCAGCACAAGAAAGACAAAATGCCTTCCCCAAATTGGGAAATTCACGTAGTCAAAAGCTGATCCAGCCCAAACACATTAAATTTCAAACATCCACACTAGATACACCATAACCAAATTTCTGAAAACTGAACAAAAGGGCCTGGAGAGATGGCTCAGAGGTTAAGAGCACTGGCTGCTCTTCCAGAGGTCCTGAGTTCAATTCCCAGCAACCACGTGGTGGCTCACAACCATCTGTAATGAGATCTGGTGCCCTCTTCTGTCCTGCAGGCTACATGCAGGTAGAACACTGAATACATAACAAAACCTTAAAAAAAAAAAACTGAACAGAAGTTGGGCAGTAGTGGCACCCACCTTTAATCCCAGCACTGCAAAGGCAGAGGAGGCAGGTCTCAGAGTTCGAGGTCAGCCTGGTCTACAGAGTGAGTTCCAGGACAGCCAGGACTACAAAGAGACCCTGTTGTGGGAGTGGGGGGAGGGAGAGGGGGAACAGCACATGACAGTCAACAAAAAACCTGGAATCACAGGGACATTACATCTGGATCACACCTGGATCTACAGAATGACAGACTCCAGTGACAATAGCTCTCTCAGCACATCCCAGAAGGCAGAAGGACATAGTAAAGCCCTTTCCAAACACTGAGAGAATAAACTAATACCAATTAAAAGACTGATACTGAGTGCGGCAGAAGGATCAGGAGTTCAAGGCAAGCTTTAGATAAAGATTTAGGCTATCCTTGGCTACACAGCAAGTTCAAGGCCAGCCTGAGGTATACAAGATATTTCTTTTTCTTTCTTTTTTTTTTGTTTGTTTGTTTTTTGAGACAGGGTTTCTCTGTGTAGCTTTGCACCTTTCCTGGAACTTGCTTTGTAGACCAGGCTGGCCTCAAACTCACAGACATCTGCCTGCCTCTGCCTCCCGAGTGCTGGGATTAATGGTGCGCGCCACCACCGCCCAGCAAGATATTTCAAAACAACACATACACACACACACACACACACACACACACACACACACACACACACACACTTTAAATAGCGAAGGCCTTCTGAACCAAAACAACTAGAGGTATCACAATACCAGATCTTAAAACACGTCACACAAAGCTACTATGATCAAAGCAGAATGGCATTGCCATATAAACAAAAAACCCAAAAACCCAAGAGAATGAAGAGAAACTCCACAGAGTGGAAAAAAAATCTTTTGAAGTAAGGTTTCACTATATAGCCCAGGTTAGCATTGAATTTGAATGTAGTCCAGGCTGGTTTCAAACTTGAGGTAATCCTTTTACCTTAGTTTCCTGAGTACTACAATTATAGGTGTGTGCTACCATAACCAGAAGGAGAAATATCTTTAAGTCATACATGTAATATAAATTATATTGATAAATTGTCACGTGCTGTTGACCCTTGTTGAAAATGTACTCTGGGCTGGGCGGCAGTGGCCTACACCTTTAATCCCAGCACTCAGGAGGCAGAGGCAGGTGGATCTCTGAGTTTGAGGCCAGCCTGGTCTACAGAGTGAGATCCAGGACAGCCAGGGCTACACAGAGAAATCCTGTCTCGAAAAACAAAAACAAAAACAAAAAAAACCAAAACAATTCAAGGCAAATTTTTCCCCTCCTCTTTTGGAGATTGGGGGTGGGGTGGGGGTGTTTCACTAAATTGTCCAAGATGGCCTAAAACTTGCAATCAAAACTTGCCTCAGTGCTGGGATTGGGGCGTGTACCGCCGCCCCACCTTGCTCACTGAAAACAGTTTGGATGAAGATAAGTACAACTCAAGGGAACTATTAACCGAATGGAGATAAAGACAACTCATGAATGAAACAACCCAAGTGGGGACTGAACTCAGAGTCCACCCCGCCAAGGGCCTCTGAAGGCACAGTCTCCTCACTTGTACTGTATGTGCCAAGATCACAAGAACTATCAATTTTCTCTCTCTCTCTTTTCCTGAGACAGGGTGTTTCTCTGTGTAACAGCTCTGGCTGTCTTGGAACTCACTTTTTAGACCAGGCTGGCCTTGAACTCAGAGATCAACCTGCCTCTGCCTCCCAGGTGCTGGGATTAAAGGAGTGCACTACCACTGCCTGGCTTTCTTTTTAAAGACAGAGTCTTTCTATATAGCCCCGACTGTCCTGGGACTGGATATGTAGCCCAGGCTGGCCTGGAACTGACAAAAGATCCATCTGCCTCTGCCTCCCAGTGCCGGGATCAAAGGTGTGTGTTATGCTTTGCTAATTCTCATTTTCTTTGAGATGGTTTTGCAATTAACCCAGATTGGCTCCCAAACTCCCTAAGCAGCCGACGATGACCTTGAACTTCCCAATCCTCCTGTGCACACATACACACACACACACACACACACACACACACACACACACACACACACAGCACAATACCTGGTTTTATGTGATGCTGGGATATTAAACCCAGTCAGACCTTTTTACAGAAAGTACATTTTTTCTTTTTTAAAAAAAATGCATTTTTATGCAACGGTTTCTTTTTTAATTAAGGTAAAATTTAAGTCGAAAAGCAGAGCTTACCTTTGTCGCCCCATGTGTCTCGGGTTTTGTAGGTGGTAACACTTCTTGAGGTATGGACTACTCTCCTCCCACATGTATACCTCCAAAGAGCCATCAATGTATGTGACAATGACATGGAGAGGATCCTTCAAAAGACACCCAGATGTGAGTGGACAGGAGTCAAGATCGGATCAAAATACAGGGAAAGGGCCAATGAGGCGGCCCATCAGGTAAAGGCCTTTGCTGAGCAAGCCTGGCGCTCTGAGCCCCATTCCTGGAGCCCACGTAAGGGTGGAAGGAGAGAGTACTAACTCCAGAAAGTTGGCTTCCAGCCTCTGCACATGCACATTCATGCACACGCACACACCTTAACAGTAATAAGTTAAAAAAATGTAAATTTAGCCATGTGCTGGTAACATATGCCTTTAATCCCAGTACTCTGGAGGCAGAGGCAGGTGGATGTCTGTGAGTTCGAGGCCAGCCTGGTCTACAAAGCGAGTTCCAGGACAACCAGGGCTACACAGAGAAACCCTGTCTTGAAAGAAATAAAAAAAATTAAAAACAAACAAAGAAAAAATCCTGGAAAGGAAGCATCCCAAACATACCACCAGTAATCTCATGATCTCTGCTGGGTGGTCTTGAAATCTCTGCAGCTGGAAGCCATTCATATTGTAGACTAATAGAGATGTCCCACTTGAACACACAATCACATCCTTATCACTGACTCCCATCCATTCTGGGGTCTCTATGTCGTTTGGCAACCTGAAGCTTGCTACTAGACGTGCTGTTCCATACAAAACACACACAAAATACATAGGCAATTTTTGAATCATTTAAGTCAGAGCAAAATTCTTAATGCTGAGTGAAAAGCATACCCCTACTTCCACGGGACTCTAGTCTGGTAAGAGACCATGAAGACAGTCCAGTGGACTGACCATGTCCTCGACCATGGAAAGACAGGCTATGACGCAGTGACAGTGTGGACAATCAGTAATAGCTCAAGCATTGGAAAGACACCTGTACTGGGGAAGGACATTAGAACCCAGTCCCTAACCCGTAATAGAAATGGAAACATGTTTGAGCAGGGTAGAGTAGTGACCAGGTGATGTCACCACAAACAGGCATTCACTTTTAGCTAAGGAGCCCTTCTGCCCCCATTACAAAGACTTGCATCACCACAAGGTGACATATGCCTTTAATCCCAGAGTCTAGTGGATCTCTGAGTTCGAGGCCAGCCTGATCTACAGTGTGAGCAGCACAGCCAGGGCTATAGAGAAACCCTATCTCAAAAAACAAAACAAAGCATGCACTTGTGGCTTAATATGAGTACTTGTGGGAGAGGAGAAAATAGAGTTTCTTTTAAAAACTGTTTTTACATGATTATTATGTTTGTGTAGGTGTTCATGTCACGAGCACACATGTGGAGGTCAGGGGACACCTTGAGGAACGTAGTTCTCTCCTTCCACCATGTGGGACCCCAGGAATTAAATGAAATTGTCAGGCTTCATCCTATCTCTAAGCCACTGTTTCTCAACCTTCCTAACACTGTGACCTTTTTTTTTTTTTTTTGGTTTTTCGAGACAGGGTTTCTCTGTGTAGCTTTGCGCCTCTCCTGGAACTCACTTGGTAGCCCAGGCTGGCCTCAAACTCACAGAGATCCGCCTGGCTCTGCCTCCCAAGTGCTGGGATTAAAGGCGTGCGCCACCACCGCCCGGCCACTGTGACCTTTTAATACAGTTCCTCATGTTGTGGGGACCCCATAAAGTCATTTTCACTGCTGCATCATAACTAAGTTTGCGGTCATAATGTAAATATTTTGAGATAGAAGTTTGTTAAAAGGGTCATGACCCACAGGTTGAGAACCACTGCTCTAAGCCCTTTTTTTTTTTTTTTTTTTGCGCCAATCTCGTAATACAGGCTTTTTTTGGTTTTGTTTTGTTTTTTGGGACAGGGTTTCTCTGTGTAACAGCCCTGGCTGTCCTGGAACTTGCTTTGTAGACCAGGCTGGCCTCGAACTCACAGACATCCACCTGCCTCTGCCTCCAGAGTGCTGGGATTAAAGGTGTGCATCAGCGTTGGCCTTTTTTATTTATTTATTTTTTAACTATCATTAGTGTGTGTGTGTGTGTGTGTGTGTGTGTGTGTGTGTGTGTGTATCTGCGTGCATGAATGTGCACATGCTAAGCCATCTCACCAGACTGATCTTTGTTTCTGAGACGGCACCCTCTATGAAGCTTTTCAGCCTCAGTCTCCTGATTTGGGACATGTGCCATCATGCTCGGCTTGAGAAATTTCTAAGGTGGTGAGGTTTACCTTTAGCGTTTACTCCGTTCTCGGTCCTTTCCAGTTCTATATCAAACGTGACAAATCTCGAGACTTTACGGGGCCCCCTCTGGGACAGCAACGTTATCCTGTCTTCCCTCCGCGGGGTCCAGAAGGCTTTGAAGCTTAATGTATAGTTGATAATGGTCCACACAGGGGTGGGGTATTCCGATGGCCTCAGTAAGCTGTTCATGAGAAACACCTGCAGAGAGAGCATTGTGTGGGTCCTCAGTGAAGAGGAATGCTGAGCCTCTGGCACCCCTGCAACTCAAGGCCCGGGACTTTAGGAAGAAGTACATGTGCGGCTGCCTCTGTCCTTCACTGCAGACAGGGCTGAGCACTCACTGCCTCCACTTAATGTACGAGGAGCTCACGTCTTCCTGTCTCTCCCGCCATTTTCTGAGACAGAAAGAGAATGGAGTCCCTGACCCAGGTCAAAGGGCAGCTCAGTCATCCCCCCACAACGGACTCCTCATCAGACAGAAGTACACGTTTTCTGTGCAGAGGACTAGTCCAGGGCTGTTTGATTTGATTTGATTTTTTTAAATGAGGCATTGAGACTGCCTTACTGTAACCCAGGCTGGCTCTGAAAGTACAGCAATGTACAAAAGCAAATAAATATGCATGGGCCCTGAGGAAGTACTTGGCCTTGGAGCAGACCATCTGCCTCACAGTACCTGTGAGCTAGGCACCAGAGAGCAGGGAGTAAAGAGGGAATGGAGTATGAAGAGCACTGGGTATGTGTAGATCCTCTTTTTTCCCCACGATCCATTGGTCACTGGGCCAGAAGGGCAGAAGCGGTAAGCAGGGCCTTGTCCCGCCTGTGAGCAAGACAGAAATAGCCTTCCTGGAGACTGCTTCAGTGTTACAGCTCAGCTTTATTTTAGAGTAAAGGAAATATACAGGATAGGGGCAGTGGCTGGGGCATCACCCAATTTGCATTAAACAGCATGCTCCTTTCAGAAGACTCCAAATGTGGCAGCAGGGTCCTATCATAAAGCTCTAACACCATGTCTGATTACCATATGGGCAGGGGGGAAGGCTTCTGTGGGGGAGCTGTCAAGGGTCACACCTGAGATAAGTCAGGCATCCCTGCTTATCCTCCAAATAAGGTTAGGTAGAGAGCAGGAAGCCTTCACTGGGGGGGACGGGGGTGGGGAGTGGAGTAAGCGGGGAGGGGGGAGGTGTCCTCCATATTGTGCTGAGCTCGGAGAGAGCTGCCAGGCCATGATAGACTGCAACATGTGACCAGCAGGGCCTCCCAACATATGTCGGCAGGAGTCTGAAATCCAGCACTGGAGGTGGATTCCTGGGGAAGATAGGAGTGTAGTCCAGCGACAGGAAGATTGCTGTGAGTTCAGGGCCAGCAAAGTAAAGAAGGCTTCCAGGGAGCCTTATTCCACCTGCCTTTGGCTGAACCAGGCCTCAAGGACACTTTTCACTAACAGACATTTGCCATTGGGACTGGCCATGACTGCTTCCCAGAGTATTACATCCTGACCGTGGGGATGACTTCTGCTTGTGGTAGGGCTCAGGAGAAAGGAGCAGTCTGCCTGGTCCTCCCCGAGGGCTGGACCTTCCTTGATTCTCCCTGCCCTGGAGTTGAAGTTGCTAGAACAAACCTACCTTTGGCAAGACATGTGGGTGCTTCTTATTCAGGTAGACCCATTTCCTCTGAGGAGAGCAGTAGAGTTGGTTAACAGCAAATTCAAACACATGGACTCTAGAAATAAGGTGTAAGTCGGGAATCCTGAATGTGTGGAGGTTACCGGAAATGTCACCTGCCTGAAATCAAAGGACCAGCAGCTGATCAGTAGGAAAACTTGAAGTATGAAGGAAGCGGCACTACCAGCTCTGAGAAGCACTGGCCTGCCTCCCAGAGAGGTTGGGATGATCCCATGGAGTAAGACTTTCCAGAGCCCGGACAGAGAGAGAGCTCAGTGGATAAGTACTGTGCCTGCCTCGGGAGGCTCACCCTTGCTGGCTCCAAGGGATCCAAAGCTCTCTCTTCTAGACTTTGTGGGCACCTATACTCACATGCCCATACCCACACACAGTCGAGTAATTAAAAATACAACTTTTTAAAAAATGAGACCTTCTGGGGCTCGAGAGGTGGTGCAGAGGTTTTTCTTTCTTTCTTTTTTTTCTCTCCCGAGACAGAGTTTCTCTGTGTAGTTTTGGTGCCTTTTCTGGAACTCAATCTGTAGCCCAGGCTGGCCTCCAACTCACAGAGATCCGCCTGCCAATGCCTCCCAAGTACTAGGATTTATTAAAGGCGTGCACTACCACTGCCTGGTGGTGCAGAGGTTTTTTGTTTGTTTGTTTTTTTTTTTTTAAAGATTTATTATTTATTATGTATACAGTGTTCTGTCTGTATACCAGAAGAGGGCATCAGATCTCATTTTAGATGGTTGTGAGCCACCATGTGGTTGCTGGGGATTGAACTCAGGACTTCTGGAGGAGCAGTCACTGATCTTAACCTCTGAACCATCTCTTCAGCCCAGTGCAGAGGTTTTTAAGAGCACTTATTCTTCTAGAGAATATAGGTTCAACTCCAGCACTCACAAGGCATCTCACAACTGTAACACCAGTATCAGGGGCTCCAGTGGCTTATTCTGACCTCCAAGGGCACTAAGCATAGTGCACCACCATGCCTAGCATGATTTTTCTTTTTCTAAGAGACTTTTGCAGGGCCAGGTGGTGGTGTTGCATGTCTTTAATCCCAGTACTTGGGAGGCAGAGGCAGATGGATCTCTGGGTTCAAGGCCACCTTAGTCTACATAGTGAGTTCCAGGACAGCCAGGCCTATACAGAGAAATCCTCTCAAAATCCAAAACCAAAACAAGACAAAGAACTTTTGTAGGGCATGGTAGCATATGTCTTTAACCCCAGCACTCAGGAGGTAGAGCCAGGCTCATCTCTGAGTTTGAAGACAGCATGATCTACACAGTGACTTCTAGGCCAGCCAGGACTACATCATGAGACTTTTACTAAACACACACACACACACACACACACACACACACACACACACACACACACACGAGAGAGATTTTCTAAGCCCTAAAACATTCTTCCCCAAGGACTCACTTGGGTAACAACATTATCCTTTTTTCCTTAGTATCTGATAAAATTCATATTTTTCTCTCCACTATCTCTGTCCAAGTTACAGACTCCAAATAATAAACATTTGAAAGAAGCAAAAATGTGAAATCATTTAGAAAAATTGTAATATGTATATGTGTGCATGTGTATGTAGATGTGCATACCTGTACATACATGGAGCCCAGAGAAGGATGTCAGGTGCCCTGTTCTATCACTCTCCACCTTGTTCCCTTGAGAGTCTTATTGAACCCAGAGCTAGGCTGGCTAGCAGCCAGCAAGCCCCAGTCTGCTGTAGAACAATCCTTTTCTATACTATGAATATGTATGACTCTCATTGGTTAAAAAGCTGACAGGCCGGTAGGTGTTCAGGAAGTTAGGCAGGAAAAGCCAACTGAAAATGATGGGAAGGAGGGTGGAGTCTTGAGAGATGCCAGTTGCGGAGCAAGCAGGAGGTATAGAAAATGAGGTAACAAGCCATGAGCCACTTGGCAATGCATAAATAGAAATATGGATTAATTTAAATGTAAGAGTTAGCTAGTAACAAGCCTGAGCTATCGGCTGAGCATTTGTAAATAATATTAAACCTCTGAGTTGGTTATTTGGGAGGAAGCAGTTAGGACAGGAAATGTCCATTTATACCAGTCACCCTTTTGTTTCCAACCCCAACAACACTGGGGTTGCTGGCACATTTAGCTACATCCCACTTTTTATGCGAGTGCCAGGGATTTGAACTCAGGTCTTCATCCTTGCACAGGAAACATTCCTGTCCACTAAGCCATCTCTCCCTGGGCCCCTAGGAAAATCTTTTTGTATTGTTTTTAAAAGAATGGCTTAGGACCAGAGTGAGGATGGCACACGCTTTTAATCCTAACACTTGAGAGACAGAGGCAGGCAGATCTCTGAGTTTGATGCTGGCCTGGTCTACCAAGCAAGTTCGAGGACAGCAAGGCTACACAAAGAGACCCTGTCTCAAAACCACCACCACCACCCCTCCAAAAAAAAAAAAAAAAAGAAAATGGCTTAGAAAATGTACACGAGGTTAGACCAAAGGCATGGTCAGTTTTTGGTTTTGTTTTTTTGGAAACAGGGTTTTTCTGTGTAGCTTTGGAGCCTGTCCAGGAACTCACTCTGTAGACCAGGCTGGCCTTGAACTCACAGAGATCCACCTGCCTCTGCCTCTCGAGTGTGCCACCACCGCCTGACTAGTGGACATTTCTATGCCATCATTTATTGGTGTATTGTGATTGACTCTCAGGGTTTGCAGAGATGACTCCAAGAGGCTGAATTGAGATTTGACAGTAATGGAGCCTCAATTAGCAAGTGTTTTGTACTGTACGCCTACTCTAGATTTGGGGGTCACTTACCAAGACGATTGGACCATCTTTTGTAAGCACAGCTTTCAGTGTTTGACAGGAAGAGGACATGCTGTTAGTTGCCAGAGCATCCTTGTCATAACAATTCCACACTTTGATGGTCGCTTCCATATCCACGGTGATCGCCAGGCACAGCTCTGGGAGGGTGGCCAGTCTCATGATACAGGTAGGCTGTACTGGGCTTACCCAGGTCATGACACCCTAGGGAACAAGAGCAGCATGTGTCTGAGGAACTATTTCCATTGCTTTCACCCACCAACTTTATTGGGAAGCCTTTTCCAAATTGTAACTACTGCTTACAAGAAGAGGATACGGAAATTCTAAGCCTCTCCAGCTGGCCATGTGGCACATGCCTATCACCCCAGCCCAGGCAGGCAGAGGCAGGGGGGCACCATGAGTTTGAGGCCAGCCTGGTCTACAATATCAAGACCAGTTGGGGCTATACTACAAGACTATCTCAAAAAAGAGTAACAGACACAACAAAAAAGAAAAATATAAACATCTAGACTACCTGGGGGCAGGAGCAGACATGAGAACGGGACCGTATGCACTATGCTCAGAGGCAAGCGTTCACTACAGACTGCCTCCCAAGTCCTGGGATTAAAGGTGCGCACCACCATCACCCAGCTACCAACTCTTTCTGTGAAGCTATTATCATCACTCAATACCAAAGCGACATAAAAGACATAACAAAAACAAACAAACAAACAGAAAAGGGAAAGTAACAGCCAATCTCCCTGATAAATACAGAAATTCTCAACAAAATATTTGCAAACTGAATTCAAGAGTACACCAGGGGGCTGGAAAAATGGCTCAGTGATTATGAGAACCTACTCTTCTTCCAAAAGACTCAAGTTCAGTTTCCAGCACCCACCTAGGGTGGTCATAATTTCCTGTAACTTCAGCTCCAGGGTAGCCAATGCCCTCTTCTGGATCTACAGGTACCTGCACTTGTGTGCATATACTTCCTCCTCCCATATAAACAATTTAAAAATAAAAACAAATCTTAAGCCAGGCAGTGTCAGTGCACGCCTTTAATCCCAGTACTCAGTAGGCAGAGGCAAGTGGATCTCTGTGAGTTCAAAGCCAGCCTGGTCTACAGGGTGAGTTCCAGGATAGCTAGGGCTGTTACACAGAAAAACCTTGTCTTGAAAAACCAAAAAATAAATAAAAAATTAAAAAAAAAACCTTATAAAAGAATATACCAAGCTGAGTGGTGGCGATGACCCATGCCTTTAATCCCAGCACACGGGAGGCAGAGTCAGGTAGATCTCTTGAGTTCAAGGTCAGCCTGGTCTACAAAGTGAGTTCCAGGACAGCCAGGGCTACACAGAGAAACCCTGTCTCTGGGGAAAAAAAAGGAAAAAGAAAGAACATACCAAAAAGATCACTCACCATGACCAAGCTGGCTTTATTATAAAGGTGCAGGCATGGTTTAATATACATGAAAAGAATGTTATAAATGACATAAATGGACTCAAGGATAGAAATCGAATGACAATAGATGCAGGAAAAGGCAAATCCAACATCTCCTAAGTCCTGAAGGAGCAGAACAGAGGAACATATTTCAACACAGTGGAGGCCTTACTTGACAAACTGTCCTTGTCAGTTTTTGTTTTGTTTTTATTGGCGGCGATTTTGTGGGTCAGTGGGTGTGTGGGTGTGTGGGTGAACTTGACACAAGCTAGAGCTATCTGAGAAGAGGAACCTCAACTGAGAAAACATCTCCATCAGATTGCTTCTAAGCAAATCTGTAGGGCATTTTCCTAATTAATTAATGTGGGAGGACTTGGCCACTGCGGGTGGTGCCGCTCCTGGGCAGGTAGTACTGGGTGGTATAAGAAAGAGAACTGAGCAAGCCATGAAGAGTGAGCCAGTACGGAGAGCCCCTTCTCTGCCTCTGCTTCAGTTCCTGCCTCAGCCCCCTGAAAGACTAACCCGTGAGCTCTTTCCTCCCTAAGTTGCTTTTGGTCACGGTCTCTATCACAGTAACAGAAAGCACACTCGCACACAAGCCTGTAGCCAACCTTTATTAAACAGTGCGTGTTAGGTCTCAGACTGTCCAGGAATCCAGAGATGAGCTCACGCTGGACTGTAGGACTTCTGGTGATAGATAAAAGTCAGCATCCCCCCAGGAACTTCTGAAACCAGCTCCCACCTGCCAAAAGGCGTTCCTTCCCTTCTGGTTGAAGGGGTATGGGGCTCCATTGACATATACTTCTGGCTGCATATCAAAGCGGCCCCCAGGCTCCCCGGTCCCTACTCACAAGTACTTGTTCCAGATGTCAAAGCCCCCATGCAGTCCCCCGGCCCTTCCCTCTCGCAGCTACTCACCCCCTAGAACTCACTCTTCTCTCATTACTTGCTCTCACTGGGCTCCATTCTCTGTCTCCTGCTATCTCCACCTTCTCTCCTGCTCCCCCGCTTCCCTAGCTCTGGCCAAGTCCAGTCTGCTGGCCATGTCCAGTCTACTTCTTTCTCTCTGCTCTGGACTCTTCCAGATGCCTCTGGCTATTCTCTCATATCTACAATAAAAACCGTAATCATGTCATGGAGCAATCCCGTTGGCAGCTTCTTTACTGTACCCTCTTGGACTCAAAACAAAAAACATGGGGTTGTGGATTTAGCTCAGTGGCAGAGCGCTTGCCTAGCAAGAGCAAGGCCCTGGGTTCGATCCTCAGCTCCAGAAAAAAAAAAAAAAAAAAAAAAGAGAAAGAAAAAGAAAACAAAAAACAAAAAAACCCAACAACCTCAAAGCATTTACAGCAACATCAGAAAAAAGACACTCTTATTTGACTCTTAAGCAATACAGTATTGTTCTAACTAGAGCAATAACCCAAGAGAAGCAAACGAAAGGGATGTCAATAGGACAGGAGAAGCTAAAGTAACCTTATTTGCAAACACTGATTCTGTACTGAAGAGATTCTGAAGACTCCACCAGAGAACTCTTAAGACTGATAAGTTTCCATCAAATTGACAGGCTGCAAAATTAACATAAAACATACACAAACCAGGGCCCTTCCCATTACCAATAAACAAATTGCAACCAGGGAAGCAGTCAGGTCCACAGCAGCCTCAAAACAAGAACAAAACCCTGGAGCAAGGGGCTGGAGTGATGGGTCAGCAGTTGAGAGCACTCACTGCCCTTGCAGAGGACCCCAGCTGGGGTCCCAGAGCCTACACAACATCTCAGAGTCACCTCTAACAATCTAACACTCTCTGGGCTCTGCCCGCCCACCAGCCATAAACTCTCACCCCCACATATGTATATAAAATAAAAAATATTAAAAAAACGATAACTTTAAGACACTGAGAGGCGCTGGAGGATGATTCAGCAGGGAACCCGGTTCAGTGCCCAGCACCCACAGCTTACAACCATCTGTAACTCTAGTTCTAAGGGACCTGACACCCTCCTGTGACCTTCACTGGCACCGGGCACACATGTGGTGTGTGTATATTCAGGGAAAACACTCCTACATATAAAATGAATAAATCTAAAAAAAAAAAAAAAAGGGCAGAACCAGGAGTGTGGTGCACATCTTAAACCCAAGCACTGGGGAGGCAGAGGCAGGTTTATCTACGTAGGGAGCTCCAGAATAGCCTGGGCTGTACAAGGAGATTCCATCTCAAAAACAAAAAAGATGAACTGAGGATTCAGGTCCAGATCCTGGTCACTTCTGCTACTCCTCTGTCAGACTCACCTCTCGAATATCCCAGGTGGTAAGCCGAGTCATAGAAGTCACCACACAGACAGTTGATTTTCCTTGTCCGTTATATGTTAAGCCACTCCCTGAGAGATAGTACGCTGTTCCCTGAACTCCTGCAAGAAAACTCCAACATTATTTGGACACCAGATAGTTGAGGGGTGACTCAAACCAAAACAAGGTATGTTTTTGTTTTTCTCTGTCTCTGTGGGAAGGCTTGGGCAACAGCTGTAGAAAGGATGGAGAGAGCCAGCCAGTCAAGCTGCAGGTTGGCCTCTGGCTCGGGTCTTTTTACTCCTTAATCTGTCTGTTTCTACAGATACAAATGGGTACTAGGAGTTAGGAGTGTAACTCGGTCAGGAGAGTGCTAGGTCCTATTCCTAGAGTCCCATAAACCCTAATCCTAGCACTCATTTGGGAGCAGAAGGATCTGAAGTTCAAAGTCATTGTTGTTTGCTACATGAAGAGTCGTTGCTGTCAGCCTATGGTACATGAGACCCTTCCTTTAAAAAACAAAATAAAAAAGCCAGGTGTGGTGGTGTACCTCCAGTCCCATGGAAGGCAAGTGGCAGATCTTGAGTTTGAGGCCAGTCTGGTCTACATATTGAGTTCCAGGCCAGTCACAGCTATGTAGTAAGGCCTTGTCTCAAAATAAGAAAAGTTAAGACTCTTCCCATCAGGAGAATGGATTCCACAAATTTGTCTTCTGATAGACACACGATGTGGTATATACATACATCACATATGCACACACTAAAAATTATAAGTGTAAGGAATTTAAAGTATTTCTCCATCAGAGAACTGTCACAAGGAGGTTTCAGGGAAAGGTAAATAATAAAGCCTATGTTATTTAGTAATTTCCCCATTCAATTTTCTGTATATTTTGGGGAGGGTAGGAAGCCTCTGGGGAAATGGAGTGATATGGCTGGGCTGGCTTTACACTGTTAAGCAATCACTCTGGGTCTTCCATTCAGATCACAGGAGACACGAATCAGGATTGGTCCAAGCCCAACCCATTAAATTTTAATGACCCTTCTCCTATTAAATGAGAATGTAACACTGCATAGAATGGGAAAAATATCAAGTGGGTGTCTCTTCTAGGATACCCATGCCCATACCAAAATCCCCAGACATTTCTTTGTAGATGAAGTCTTCTGGCTTTGCCCGAGACATAGAGTGTTCTTGCCTAGTTTTGCGAAGGAAGTACTCCTTCCACGTCTGTGCACCCAGGATATCTAGAGATAAGTCGTAACAGAGCCATCTCCTCAGACACAGCTTCCTGCAAGGCACAGTCACAATCCCGGTCAGCTCACCTTCTCGGAGCCCCTGTTAAAGTGCATGAACTTCTCATCACATTCATCTTCCTGGGTGTATCTCACACACCAGAGGGCCGGGTGCAGACTTAGAAGCCTCCCTGCCCCTCTTCCTTTCTGGGCCCCATTCTGCCCCTTTCCTTACCTCCATAGGGAATCACTGGTTGCAACCAAATTCCAGCTCTACAGGAGAGAAAGGAGTCCTTAAGCCAGCATGCTCTCATGCTCTGGACTGGGCCTACACAGGTTCATCAAACTCAATCCCAGCTCTCCAGGCCCAGCTAGCCTAGGGACACCTACCCCAAGCAAACACAAGTCATCTTGTGAGAGCTTGGAGGAAGGAAGTCTGTTTGACATGGGAGCCTCAAGGGCCTCACATCTCAGCAGCACAACTCCACACATCAGCCTGTTCCTTTCATTTAACAGAATTTTGTTGTTGCTGCTATTGTTTTTTGCGATAGGGTCTCTAGTAACCTAGGCTGGCTTTAAATTCACCATTTAATTGACTACGACCCAAATTCCTGATGCTCTTGCTTCTACCGCTCATGCGCTTCGATTACAGGCATGTGCCAACACTCCTGGCTCATTTAACAGGATTTGAGGTCTTCAGAGTGAATGACGCTAACCCATGAGCCCTCAATGTGCCCCTTGGCTATTCTGCAGCTTGACACTCCCATTGGTCAAGAGAAGCAAATGCGTCCCCGAGACGCTAGGGTGTCAGAGTTGCGTGGACAGGTCTGAACAAGGTAAGTTTAAGGAATGAAGGAAGGCTGGGTGAGTTAGCTGGGGTAGCTAACTCCGTGGCTGGGGTGAAAGGCCAACGGGGCCTTTTTTAGGAATATACAAAGTGGAGGCGTCCAGGCACAGGGCTGGTCAATTAGACAGCAGTGAAAAGTGGAGAGACTTTACCTTGTTTACTTGGGCAGCCTGTAGCAAGCTGAAGGCATCCAGATAGGAGAAGATTTTCATCACTGGCACATTAGGCAAATGGATCTCCATCTTACGTGGCCTAAGCCCACATTCGCTCTTCTCCTCAGCTTGCTCTGACTTTAAAGGTTTGGCCAAAGATGGCAGCATTTAGCGGGATTGCCACCTGCACCTCATCGGCACCTCATCAGGCTCTGATTGACGTGAGCTGCAGGCGTGTAGACTCTCAGCCTGACCCCCCACTCCTGTCTTCCCTGGAGCCAGATGCACACAGCTGAGAGTGTTCACACTGAAATTCACTCTGCAGTGTTGTTCATTGCGTAGATGACCCCAACACCACCTTCCTGGATCTGTGGACCAAAGGAACATGAGCTGGGGAAGCCCTGGTTGCTGATGCACTTGTCAGAACTTTCTAGAAAATATCAGGTAACACACTCATTTTCAGTGGATTCACTTGTGGGAAGCCCATTAGGTTGCTCCAAATTACTGGCATAGGTGATCTGCTTTCCGTGTTTATGTCTACCTTGAGAATGGAATTAGATTGGCAGGGTCCGCCTCTCAGTGCCAGGACAGTCTCTGAGATTCTGCACTTACGTATTTAGCTTTCTAGAAGAAAAGGACACCTGAGGAAGACACCGAATGCCCGCTGCTGGCCTCTATGCACACACATTTAAGCACACACACACTCACACACACACACATGCACTCATACATACAGACACAAATGCACTACACGTGAATTCCAGGCCAGCCTAGGCTAAAGAATAAGACTTTGTCTCAAAAAAAAGAAGACCAAAAGCCTTATGCTGATTTTATCCAAGCATACATTACTAATCAGAAATCAGAATTACATTCTCCTGTGGATCCACAGGGTAGAGTTTGTGTCCCGGATCCTCGGTAGCTGGGCTTCTTTGTCCTTTAAGACAAAAAAAAAAGCTCAAGGAATCCAGCACTGAGCTAGAGTGCACACATACATAGACATATGCATATATACACACATATAGACACACGCACACATATACACTATGATTATATGCATATGTACATGTAGACACATGCACACACATACAATGGTCAGATGCATATATACACACATAGACACATGCACACACACACACACAATCGTCATATGCATACACACACAGATACACACTTTTTAGACTATGCTGTCCACTGATTCAGAATGAAACCAGTCTTGAGGGCTGCAGACGCCAGCACCGACTTTGTTATCAGAGTTGGAGGTTAGACCATGAAAGTGCCCTGAAAAGCTAAAGTGCTAAAAGACAGGGCTACAGGCCCTGAGAGAAGCCAAAGGCCTCCTTGTGCTACAGTGCTGATTTCGCCCCCTTCCTCCCTCCCTCTCTCCCTCCCTCCCTCCCTTCCTCCCTCTCTCTCTCTTTCTTTCTTTTTCTCTCTCCTTTATTTTGAGAAAGGATCTCACTATCTAGCCCTGGCTGACTAGCCTGGAACTTGATATGTAGACCAGGCTGGCCTCCGATTCATTAGACTCAGAGATCAGTCTGCCTCTGCCTCCCAAGTGCTGGGATGAAAGGCGCACACGACCACACCTGGCTTTGAATTTTGTGTTTGCTGAGTCAGAGGATGGCCCTGGCCGCCTTCTCTGAGTACCTAGCTTAAATGTTCAAACGAGAAGCTATTATCACTCCTTACAAAAAAAATGAGGCATTGCTACCCCAAACCCCTTAACAATGGACATTTTCCATCCATGTCAGAAGTTTTGTTTTTTTGGTTTTTTTTGTTTGCTTGTTTTTTTGAGACAGGGTTTCTCTGTGTAACAACCTTGGCTGTCCTGGAACTCACTCTGTAGACCAGGCTGGCCTCAAACTCACAGAGATCCGCCTGCCTCTGCCTCTGAGTGCTGGGATTAAGGGGATGGGCCAAAAAACCCTGTAACTGTATTCAGAGCTCATCTGGGTAAACTAAGTTCTTCATCTGAGAGTGATAATCCAGTCACATCTTTATATTTTATTATGTGTATTCACGTATGCAAACTAGAGTGCAGGTACCCACAAGGTCAGAGCTGTCATAGCTCCCCAGTGCTAGAGTGGCAAGCAGTTTTGAGCTGCCCCCAGTAGGTACTGGGAACAGAACCTGGGTCTTCTGTAAGAGCAGCATATGCTCTCAATTGCTTCAGCATCCCCCTGTCCCACCCAGTCACATATTTTATCCTATTAAGGGATATTCCCACCTTTGTCATCAAAAGTAATACAAGTTCCAGGGATTGGGATGTGGATGTATCTCTTCGTGGGCATCATCAGTCAATCGACTGCAGTTATTGAATAAAAACACATTTGCACGTTCACTTTGGTTGGGAATCCCATAATAACCACTTTAACAATATCAATGAGGGACTCCAAGCAAGAGTGCCCCCAGGTTCTTAACCAACTCCTGATGCAAACAGCTGTGACCTTGCTGGTGGCAGCAGGAAGATGTCTGCACTGTTGGTAATGGACTTGAGAGCGTTACCAAGTTGTTGCCTTACAATCTTCAACTTCCATGTAAGAAGTTTGGCTACTCTGAGGTTCCATAAAGAAAGAACAAATCAAGAGACACTCACAGAGAGACAGAGGAAGAAGGATGCCTGAGAAGCTCAGGTCCTGCAGCCCAGGCAGCAGACGTATGAATACAGAAGGCACTAAAGATGACTGCAGCCAGGCCGGGCGGTGGTGGCACACGCCTTTAATCCCAGCACTCGGGAGGCAGAGCCAGGCGGATCTCTGTGAGTTCGAGGCCAGCCTGGTCTACAGAGTGAGATCCAGGAAAGGCACAAAGCTACACAGAGAAACTCTGTCTCAAAAAAAAAAAAAAAAAAAAAAAGATGACTGCAGCCACATCAGACCCTGGCCTGGCTAGTTTTACGTCAACTCGACACAAGCTTGAGTCACCTGAGAGGAGGAAACTTCAGTTGAGAAAATGCCTCCAAATTATCAGGTTGTAGGCAAGCCTGTAGGGCATTTTCTTAATTAGTGATTGATGGGGGAGGGCCCAGCCCATTATGGGTGATGCCATCCCTGGGCTGGTGGTACTGGGTTCTATAACAAAGCAGGTTGAGCAAGCCATGATGAGCAAGCCAGTAAGCAGCACTCTTCATGACCTCTGCATCAGCTCCTGCCTCTAGGTTCTTGCTCTGTTTGAGTTCCTGTCCTGACTTCCTTCAATGATGGACTACAATCTGGAAGTGTAAGCCAAATAAACCCTTTCCGTCCCAACTTGCTTTTGGTCATGGTGTTTGATGGAAGTAATAGAAACGTTTAACTAAAACAGACCCTAAGCAAACACTCTCCTGCTCTGGCCTGTCAACTGCCAGACACAGGCAAAACGAGGCTGTAGCCTATGTTTTTGGAGTGGTGTGCCAATGGGAATGAAATATTTTGAAGTTCAAGTCGGCTAGATTTGGTGATGGACTAGGTATGTAGCAAGTGAGAAAAAGACAAGATGACTCTAAGATTTGGGTCTGAGCAGCAGGTACAATAACTCACATGGGCAACTGATTTTCAATAAAGGTGCCAAGTCATTCCATAAGGCAAATGGTAATCTTTTTAACAGTGATTCTGTTAAGACTAAGTGTGTATAAAGACTAAATATGTATGGTTAAAATTAGGACCCGAGTGGTGGTGGCGGCCCACACTTTAATCATAGCACTCAGGAACACTCATAGAGGCAGGCAGATCTCTGAGTTCGAGGCCAGCCTAGTCTACAGAGTTAGTTCCATAGTTCCAGGGCTATATAGAGAGACCCTTGTCTCAAAAAACCAACAAACAAAAGGAAAGAAAGTTCAGGCATGGTGATGCATACATATAATCCCAACACAGGGAAGACTGAGACAGCAGGATCAAGAGTTCCAGGCTAGCCTGGGCTACACAGAGACCCTCTTTTAAACAAAGTTTAAAAAGATTTATGTTTACATGTGTGTGGGTACCCACAGAGACCAGAAGAGGGAGCTAGATCCCCTGAAGCTGGAGTTACAGGAAGTTGTGAGCTGCCCCAAGAGGATGCTGGGTATGGAACCCTGGTCCCAGGCTGGCCTCGAACACATGACCCTCCCGCCTTCACCTCCTTCAGCAAATCCTACCGGTGTATGCCACCACAACCAGCAGAACCCTGGTCCTTTGCAAGAGCAGCAAGTGCTTTGAACCACTGAGCCATCTCTCTGACCCTTTATCCTCCCCCGTCACACACACACACTTTTCCTTTTTTCTGTTTTAAATCTGTGACTCATTGTGAATTTGCTTTTCTGTATGGACACCCAACAAATCTAGCACTGTATGTTCTTTATCACATTTCACTGAGCTCGTAGATGGGAAGTTAGTTGATGGTATACATGCTGATCTATTACAGGATTCGCTGTGATGTTCTAGTAATCCATTTCCATAATAAATGTATTTGTCGGGGCTGGAGAGATGGCTCAGAGGTTAAGAACACCAACTGCTCTTCCAGAAGTCCTGAGTTCAATCCCCAGCACCCATATGGTGGCTCACAACCATCTGTAATGAGATCTGACACCCTCTCCTGTATACATAATAAATAAATAAATCTTCAAAAAAAATAAATAAATAAATGTATTTGTCTCTTCATCAAGGTGGGACAAAGGTGATCTTTTTGTTTGTTTTTCGAGACAGGGTTTCTCTGTGTATCAGCCCTGGCTGTCCTGGAACTCACTCTGTAGACCAGGCTAGCCTCGAACTCACAGAGATCCGCCTGCCTTTACCTTCTGAGTGCTGGGATTAAAGGTGTGTGCCACCATGCCCGGCCCAACAAAGGTGATCTTAATGTCAAGCAAATCTGCAGTTTCAAAGTTTGACTTTTTCTAAATTTTATTTTTAATACTTATTTACTTTATGTGTATGTGTAATGCCTGAGTGCGTGTATGAGCACAGGTGTTAGATTTCCTAGAACTGGAGTTACGGATAGCTGGGAACCAAACCTGAGTCCTCTGCAAGAGCAGTACATGCTTTTAACTTTGAGCTATCTCTCCAGCCCCTTGAATGTGTGTGTGTGTGTGTGTGTGTGTGTGTGTGTGTGTGTGTGTGTGTGTGTGTATACACAAATGTGCCGGTGCCTGGGGAATACAGAAGAAGGCATCTAATTCTCTGGAGCTAGAGTAACCTGAGGCTGTGAACTGCCTGCTGTGGGTGCTGGGATATGAACTCCAGTCTTCTGGAAAACCAGCAGGAGCACCTAACTGCTAAGTGATCCCTCCAGCTACCAGCTATGTGCCTCTTAAAATCTTCTGGGTCACCTTGATGTTACTTCATTATGTGAACCTGAGCTGTCTCAGCCCATAAAGAGTTGTGTTTATAGGCCAGGCGGT